AATGCCATCATCATTGGGTTCAATTTCCCAGCATATAACGGCTTGACATGTCTCTTTTTAAGGGTGCTTTTGCACGACTAATCCGAGACCTCTCCTAGTAAGAATATTCTTTCTTCGTAATGCATGGGGATTTCTTTGATACTACAGCTTTAAATAGAGGAGAAGTTATTATGCAGGGGTGTGAATTTTGGCCTTCTTTCGCATCTTCCTCTGAATATTTTCATTGTTAAATTTGGGCATTCTCATAATCATTAATTCCCCACAAATGATGGGCCTGTGGAGTTAGTCTCAATTTCCTTCTTCATACTCTCCAGATCTATAAAATAGGTTTCCTGGTCCATCCCAATTTTTTAGAGGAGGCACAAAAAATATTACGAGCTCCTCATCATTATGCACATCTTAGGGAATGATTTCTTTGAAATGTTGTGGGGATCACTCGTAACTTCACATTCATTATAAAAAATCGACAGATTATCTATTCTTTTTTATTCATGTAGATAGACTCATATTCGTAGTCATGATCTAAATATTTTGCCTTCTTTTTCTCCCTAGCTATTGATGGTCATATTTCTTGGGATTTAACAAGGATGGCCTCATCCTCGGCTATGTCACTCCCTAGGTTAGGCACGTATTTTCTTGATCTAGGTGTGATCACCGCTTTAGGAAGAGTCAGCATTTTCTTCTTTCTCCCCGTTTGCTTCTTCTCATCATCTTATTTAGGCTGCTTTGTAGCCTTTGAATTTGTTTTCTTTTTTCTCCCCGCTTTGTAGCCTTTGGTTCTTTTGGAAAGAAGTTTTTAGCGTCTTCATATATTTTCACCTTATGAACTATATAGGGTTGAATATCATTGGAGATTCTAATCTCCTCTCCATCCCTAATATACTTCATATATTGATGTAGTGTTGATGGGGCAATGTCATAATCGTGCAACCACGGGTGACACTGAAGCGCTTTAAATGAGGGGTTTTCATCAATCTCATGGAATTAATAACCTCAGAATGATAATAAGCCAATCATTACTTTTACCGATCAGCATGAATGACCCTATCTATGAAACATCAACTTGTCTTGCCTGAGGTGTTGGACATTGAAACAAAGTGATCTCAATGCTTTCAAGATTAGAAGATTGATAGAGAACTTGGGATCAATAAGAATTTAGTTGATTATCATTCTTCCACCCTCTACAGTAACATACAAATAGCAATTATGGTATGTCATTCCGAGCATCATGTCATCCTCGACAGAAGTAATGATTGGCTTATTTCGAGCTTGCATGACCTCTATCAAATTACGTTCAACAAAATATGCCTCATATTTTTTGGGGTCCTTGAGAGCCTGAATCAATGTTTCCCAAAGTTCTTTAGACATCACTAGATCATTATATATGCTATGCTGTGCTGTAAATTTTCATGGTAGTGTCTTACCACTTCTCAACTGCACTTGGGTGAACTCCTCTGGCATAGACTCATTTGATGGTGCATTTCCTTAAGAGTTGAACATTATCTCATTTGGAGATTCATCCATTGATTCAGAGTTACTGCCTAAGTTCACCATCTCTATCTATAAAGTGATATCAAGATCTGATCCATCTTCTTTTAGAAAATACAGATCCTCATGCACATTGTAATCCATTGACGGCACCATCCTACAGGATTCAAAAGAAAATTCTTTTTCCTTTTTGGTAGAAGACACTGGTGTCATCTAAATGACCCAACAAGTTTCTATCAGAAGTGGATTGTCGTTGGCCTCTTTTGGCTCCACAACTTTGGGCTCTGCCATAAAATTAACAAGCCTAATGGGGCATCTCATAGTTTGGTAGTATTCATCCAAACTGTCGATAACCCTTTGGGTTGCTATCTTTTTCTCATTGTGCTTGTTCAGTTTGGTTTTCTTGTTTGAGAATTTCACCCTACCAGACTTTGAGATGCCAGCTTGGTTGAAGAGTTGTTTAAAACTAGATGTTTTCTTTGTAGGTAGTGCCTTGGGATCTATCACCAGCTCAGTGGGAGACTTCCATTTCATACCCGAAACACCTTCAAGCTTCCTCAATATTTTTACAGTTTTCTTAGAATCCGTAGTCTCCCATTATTCTTCTTGAATCAGTTTCTTTTGCTTTCTTTTTTCCTTAATTGGGGGTATGGAAGAAGTCATAACTACCAAAGTTGATTCCTTTCTAGGGTTAGTCAACATATTATCTAATAATGTGAGCTCTCCCTTTCGGTCCTTCCTTTCGAGCTAATCCTTTATGATGTAGAAATCTTCAATGGGATGGCCGAGCACTTGATGATATGGGAAATAATTTGGGTTGCCAATTTCTTTCGACTATTCCGACCTTCTGCACCATGGAAATTTTAGACTTGCTTTTAGTGCCAGTAGAAATAATATGGCCACACTCTCCTCTTTAAATAAATATTCTTTATTCATCTTGTCTTTGAGAGATGATACCGTTCTATCACAAGTTCCTATTACTTTCCTCGGCCATTCCTCTCTGCCTTGAAAAGTTCATGGCCTATCATTTCTCCCAAGTATCAACTTTGATTGAGGGTTAGGGTTGTAGACTTATTTTGGCTTTTCTTCATATTTTATTAGTTGTTTGTCTTTGTCTATATTTTAAACTACTTACTTCCCCTTTTTTTGGCCAATGAGAGGATGCAGAATAGGTTTCACCCTTCTTGGCATCTGAGGCTCTAGCCTTCTTGAGCTTATCAGAGCGATCTTCTAATCTCAACAAGTTAAGCTTCTTAAACTTGGGCACTCTATCCAGAATATCCTGAAATGTAGTAAATGTTGCCATGAAAAAGAATGGTTGCATCTTAATATCTATGTTTCCCATTAATAATTAAATGGCATGTTCTTCCTCAAGATGCTGCTCACATTTCATGCTTAGATTGTGCCAGTGGGTAATATATTTCAACATTGACTCATCTCTCTTCTATTTGTCTAAATCAAGGTCAGTGATCGTGATCTTCTCGATTGCACTGGAAAATCTCTTCACAAATATTGCTTCCAACTCTATGAATGTTTTTATAGAGTTGTTTGATAATTTAGTATACCATTCGAAAGCAATCGCTGTCCAACTAGTATTGAATTTTTAGAAGAGTAGGACATCATTTCTCCCTTTGTTCTTGCAGGTGGCCTTGAATTATGCCAAGTGCTATCTAGGATTTTTATTAATGTTGAAGGTATTAAACATTAGCATGGAGTACTCTTTTGGACACTGGGTAATATTTAGTAGGGTACGGGCTACCCTTGTCCACTAATTTCTCTACTTGGTCAATAACTATGATACCCTTGATCTTCTCAGTAACGATTTCTTCCAATTGTGTAGCAGTCATAGGTTCGAAGGTACTTATAATATTTTTTGGGGTATGCTGGACGATGATGTTTTAGACCTCACAACCACCTTTAAGAGCTCCCCGTACTCTTGATACTTGTGGCATTTGGAAGTTCGGAGGGTCAGCAAAAGGATTGGGCATGGGATTGATAACAACATTTCTCTACATCATTATCGCCATTTGAGCCATTATCTCAATCATTTTCTCATTTAAGTAATATATCTCTTTATCCTTGGCTCTCATTTATCATCTCATTTATCACCGCATATTGGTGAGTATGATATTTTTGACATCGAGAGGATTCTCCTATCTTCCTCTACTTCATCTTCTCCTTTGGAATGACCACCTCTGCCAGTGGTGAACCTTGCTTTATTATAACATCGATAAACTTGTCTTGACAGTGGTTGCCAATTGCCATCATCCTCACCGTCATCATAGCTGGCCTCATTGTTGATATTTATATATATTATCTTGTAGATGGCCTCCATATTAATGGAACTATTTATTTCTTCCATTTCTTCTTCTTATTCTATATTTTCTTCCACTTCCTCGAGTACTCAGATCTCCGAGCGGCAGTGCCACTGGATCTCCGGTTCTTGATTCACTAAGAAGATTTCTTTAAACCTGTGGGAAGGGGTCGTAGTTTGTTTCTTCCTTTAGAGTGGTCGATGAGTGATGGGTTCCCCTAGAGGATTCTCCAAGGTGTTGACCGTCAGGAAGATACATCTAACGTGTAGCAGGTTCAATGGTGGGTTGTTGTGCTAGTAGATGCACATTATGTGTAAGAGCTTCTTCAGGATGGGGTCTCCTTGCCGACCTTTAAGTATTCATGCCATTCATAAGAATAGTGACAGTTCTTGTAGTAATTACAGAGAAGTCAAGACTACCAAGTTGGCTTGTAACTCTAGCATTTTTGGTCTTAGTGATAATACTTACTAGTTGGATCCTCGCTCCTCATTTCAGTTGGACAGTTTTTAGGATTTTTTATAAATCCATTTGCATAAATGAAAGGTAAGGATTAGTAATCAGCATCTGATACATAACCCCATACTTTCAAAATGTAGAGACTTCAATAAAAGAAAAAATTAAAGCAAATAATCATTAGCAAGTAATCAAAATAAATTCAAAACCTTATTAAATACGTTATCTCAATAAATTTGTTGAATAATTATTTTAGAATATTTGAAATTTTAATTCATTAAATGATCATTTGGAAAATCTTAAAATTATAGGCCATGCAGATTTAACTGTTATGATAGTATTGAGATGACTTTTCAAAGATGGAAAGAGGAACCAACCCTGAGTGGAGTCACCAAAAATATGTGGTCTAAAAAAATTTAGCCCTGACCTCCCGCGTTGCTTTTTGGGGGAGTTTTAATGGATTACATTCCATTGTAAATTTTGGGAAGATAGATTAGCATTATAAATAAAACACTACCTAGAGATTTTTCCCTCACTTGGCAAGGACTTTATGATATTAGTTTTCTTTTCATATAGGCGTAAGCCCATATTATTAATTATCACTAAGGATAATAAGAGATAACTTTTGATTAAGGCTAGTCATTAATCATATATATAGAGAGTAAGTATTATCTAGCATTATGTAGTAATGTGGGTTTAGGTGTTTGAAAATTGAATATTTAAAATTGGAATTTCATCCTCTTATACATATACCGGATGATGGGGGAATGGATGATGGAGCCGATCAAAAACCCATGGTTCCATCATCTCGAGCTATCGTGGTTCCTGATCTACTTAGTCAAAGGAGGTAGTCGACCTAGCCTGATAGAAGGTTCCTTGTAAGCAGCCATAGGTTGCTTCGTCCAAGGGTACCATGTAGACTTAGGGTGGGTGATTACCTAAGTGGATAAATTTGAATCCACCTTAACTAATAGTGGTCTTTGTGCCTTATGAATTATATCTTATTGATTTATATCTCATGGATTTGATGACATTAGGGAGTATATAGGCTCTACCCATAACCATAATTTGATGGTGTCATTTGGTGGCAAACCACCAGATTCAGAGGGCTCCAGTCATAAATATTTATCTTGTGGTGCCATTTGGCAGCAAAATTATTGTTTAGAGGACACGTGCCATGTTCGCACTATCAGGAGATGATTTGAGAATGAATCATTGTGATATTTTTGACCAAACATTATCACTTTTTGAGCTGAAATATTTTTTAATTTGTCAACCTCGGTAAACTATTATGGAGGGTAGATGTGTTTTGCTTTAAGTGATTTGATGTATTATTTCAATTTTAAATATTCTAGACTTAGATGATTTTTTAAAATTTGGATTTTTAGGTATTTGGGATGTTATTTTAAGATATAAAAATTAACCACTTTGGTTGAGATCTGTATTCAACACGGCCATCATTGGCGTATTTGTGGTCATTTCTATTTCTGAATTAAGCCTTGTCGACTATGTCAAGCTTTTGAAACAGGATCAGGGGTTTCATAGGCTTTATATTTTTATTGATGAATTTCATTTATCTTTGACCTTGAATGACTTATATAAACGTATAAAATAAATATTTCGATCGATGTCTTGATTATATATCTACTTGCTAATTTGAGCTATGTACACTCTTATCTATCCATATAGAAGGATTGGGCTCAAATTATAATTTATTTATTGATCAATACAATATCCCTAGACTTCACATGTGTACTCATCGGGGCCCATATGGGTGTATTATACATCCTTTTCTGTGTACATATGTGCATACATATTACAGTGCATGTGTAGGGATATTTTATAATATTTGACAAGTCTTCTACGATAGCTAGTATATGTTGTCGTTCTCTTGCATTTTGTTTATGGACAACATATTGGGTGTATAATAGGTCTTCTATAATAACTTGTAGGAGCTTGTGTTTGTTGCAATCCTTCTATATTTGCTAGTAGATGACATATTGAGTGCACGATAGGTTGTCTATAGCGGCCTATAGGCTCTCACATTCACTATAATCACTTGGCATTTTAATAGTAGATGATATTTTGAGCATGTAGCGAATTTCCTATAAGATCCCATGCACATTTACATTTTTTATATATCATTTGACCTTGGCTTGTAGAAGATTAGTATATTTATTTACCATTGAACAAATGGTTGGTCGCATGAGTGTTGTAACACCTATAATTTACCATTGACTGACACTTATAGTTATGTCATTATGCGTATAACAAATCTTTCATTGTTATTAATGGTTATTTCTATTTGGTACAATCACATTGCATTCTTGCTTGTGGATAGTGTGCCACATTCGTATGAAGGAATTATCATAACCATTGCATGTAGGCCATAGGTGTTCATAGGGAACTATTATTTTCTTCCAAGGGTGGATGATATCCATTATTAACCCTCTCATACAAAGTAGTCAGTGGGCTTTAAAATCTCTTATACATTGACTCTTTGTGTTTGTAAAGAATTGTGGAATTACTAAATGTCTTTGCATGCAATCTAGTGTTGGTCGCAAGAAGGTTGTAGCACCCACCATTTAACCTCCAATGTCATTGTTTGCGAGCTTGTCACTACACCACTCATAGATGAATCATTACATGCATTTTGGAGTGACCACTTGCAAGATTCCTATATGCATCATCTTCAATGCTTGTAGCACATTGAAATCTCTGATCATTTACATCCACTTTAAATTGATCAAGAATACCTTTCAATTTTTATTACTTGCCAATTTCCACTAATTATAAAGGTGTCATTGTATTCATCATATGTTGCATCATATACGTTTGTACAAGGTATAATCATTTGTAGAGATATTACTATGCCTGTTTGCAATTAGGCGACATTGATGACATGAAAACTTTATCCCATTTCAAACTTCTTGAAGCAAGTCATAATATTTGTTGTATGTTATTCACCAGTGTACTAATGTCAACTACCAGGTGAATTGCATTCATTGCATGCTCTCTCTACATACATTATTTAGAAAATTTTTGTGTTCATCAGCATATCTCTTATTAACAATTCTAATATCCTGCTTATAAACACATGGTTGTTTACATTACACTCATCTTTTCTTGCATATAGGCTGGTAGGTAAGGACATCGAGTTGTGTTTGTTTATTAATGAGTTGTATTATTTATTAAAGATTCCACAACATTACTTGCAAGTATGTCATTGCATCTTCCATAATATTCATTAATTTTTATTTCCGTATGGATCATGTCTTATATCAAAGGTCCTTTGTCACCTTTGAAGAGAGCTCGTATCTCATATGGTAGATTCACCTGCTGATATTTGTATGATGATCCCTTAATTTTTTATTGAAATTCCTCACTATTGATTATAGACACATCATTCTATATTTCATTTAATATTTGCCTGTGGATGCATCACATTTGTTGCTATCATTTTAACTTGATTATAAGCAAGTCATGTCGAAGTCCACAAGTTCTTTATGAATGC